ATTGTAGTAGAATCCACATAGGATCTGATATCAGCCATGTGACTTGGGGAAGTCATTTCACTATGTTGAGATTCCACTTTGTCCACTATAAGATAAAGCAGTTGGTCAACATGACATTAAACATTTCTTTTAGCTCTAAAGCCTAAAATCATATGATGATAACATTGCTAGATAATTATCTACCCTTATATAATCTGAATTTTTTCAATATCCTACTTGTTTTTACGCTCATGCTTTTTCTTGAATACATCATACTGAATTTCTCTCAGCTTACCTATATGTAACAAATAACTCTTTTGGATGCTCTCACATCCCCAGTGCTTCTTTACAATTTGAGGTGTTATTTCTGTTATAGCTATATCACTTTAAGCAAATATAAATTTAACAGGCTGATAATTTTCATTTATGTGGGTTTTATTATAAAATGCAGAGTGTTTGAGGGTCAGGAATTTGGGGTCTCTTTCATCGGGTTTTGGTCAGGGAACAGACTAAATCTTATCCAGGCTACCTGGAGTTAGGTCATTAACATATCCACATTAGTACTTTATAAAATATTTACTACAGTCTTCTTCTAACTAAATAAATCCTTTGGCTCTTTAAAATATGATCCAATTTTTTTAAAAAATTAGATTTCTTAAGTTTATAACTTATTGACAGATACATGCAATAAGTATATAAAGAGGAACTAATGAAAGACTACAAGTAAAATCATAAGCTAGAATAACAACAGTAAAATAGCTCCCCCCAAACAAATTACAGGATAAATAAAATAAAACCTGAAAACCTCAAACTTGATAAACAAGTTAATAACATAAAATAGGTTTTTGAAATGATTGTACATACAGCTGTACTTTATTCACTGACTGATGAAAAGAAACAAAAACTATATCCATTAACTTTAGTCAGTTTTACTGAGTCAAAGAAATATGAATAAAAAAAACCCTTTATCTATAGTTTTGTAATTTTCTGGTAGTTCCAAATAGTTTTCCAACATGATTGAACCAATTCACAGCTCCATCAATAAAGCATTCATATGCCTGCTTTCTCATAACCTTGAAAATTGCTATTTTCCTCCTTTGTCATTTTTGTCTTTCTGCAAGTATAAGGCAGCGGATAGGTGAGATCAATCTGAAAGTCAGGGAGACTGAGGTTCAAGTCCTGCTGATACATACTGGCTATGCAATCCTACTTAAGTCACTCAAACTCTGAGTGAGGAAATGCTCTAAGATAATAAGTTGCAGAGAAGACATTCATCTATAAATTTCCCTACCACAAGCTCCTTTACTTGCTGAAATCACAGGTCTAGATTTTAAAAAATTTAGTGTGCATGTTCTTTTTGTTTTCTTTTTTTTGCATTCTGCATCAATCCATATAAGCATTATTATATTTCTTTGCATTCTTTTTTTTTGTTTGTTTTTAGGCAATTGGGGTTAAGTGACTTGCCCAGGGCCACACAGCTAGTAAGTGTCAAGTGTTTGGTCTGCGGCCAAATTTGAACACAGGTCCTCCTGATTTCAGGGCCGGCACTCTATCCACTGCGCCACCTAGCTGCCCCCTTTGCATTCTTTACAGTCATCATCGGCACTGAGGTGGCACAGTAGAGTCTCAGGCCTGAAGTGAGGAAGACTCAGATACTTACTAGCTGTGTGACCCTGAGCAAGTTACTTAACCCTGTTTGCCTCAGTTCCTCATCTGTAAAATGAGCTGGATAAAGAAATGGCAAACTACTCCAGTATCTTTGCCAAGAAAACACCAGCTAGGGTCACAAAGAGTCAGACATGACTGAACAACAACCGTATTTATCATTGCTCATGGTATGACATTTATTGACTAATTCCACAGATTTTTTTTCTAGATTTTTTTATATCAATAATGTAGTATCAAGCACTAAAATATTTTTAAAAATCTTTATTTTTTTTTTAACACATTTCAGGCACACATTTCATTGAGTGACATCCAATCCTTCCTTAGTTGATGCTTCATTTGGCCTTGGCTTGGGTTAGAGTAAAGAGCCAGTTCTGAGGATTTAAGCAAACTGTTACTCAGGAAACTAATACAAGTATGAGCTTTATTACTACCTGGTGCAGTAAGTAGGCAAAAAAAGTAAGTACACATATACACACACAATATGGTGACACAAACATTCAGCCACACACACTCTGCCAGGGTCACTCATGTGAGGGAGATATGTATTATAGCAAGCATCTTGGTGGGAGTACATACTCAAAGTGGGTTCTGATCAGTGAAGTTTTAAACCTTATAGCTGGGCTTGGTGGAGAACAGGTAATCAATGCCAGATATGGGAAGGGACACTCCTAATCAGACCCAGATGTGGTGGGGAAATTCTCTGGGTCTTTATTGATACCAGACTTGGGTGGGGAAATTTCCTAATCTGGACCAGAAATTTGGTGAAGATCGGACTGTAATCAGGGATTCCAGAAATCAGTGTGGATTCCAGAAATGGGTGTTGGCTCATAGCCACTGAGTGGGCAGGGAGTCTTGACCAAGAAGGAGCTGAGATTTATATGTTTGATACAGGGTCAGGATGGGTCAGGACAGTGGAAAAGTATAGGTTACCTTCATTACTTATATGTTTATGATCATTAGGATCACTTAGCCTAAGTAGCTCCATATTGGAGTCCTATCATTTGAAACATCAAACAATATGTTTCAAAAATCACAATTATCACATTTGATCAGGACAATAACTGTGTTAAAAATGTTATGTTTCCAAGGCATGGGAGATCAACTAAATTTAGGGTTGACATCAGAAAAATGCAAAAAATAGATTTAAGTTTTCCATCTCTACTAAGTAATTCAGATACCCAGAATGGGGGGAAAGCTTATAATTTTATAGTCTATTCTGAATATTTCTATGAGATTAATGAATTATGGTCCTCTATTAATGCCAACTCAGTGACAATGAAGACCATTTGTTCACCTTCTCCAAATTACTTTTAATTATAGCCTCTTATGCACAGTATTCTTTAACTGTATTAAAATATATATTTATCCAGCAGGCACATTTTGAGTACATAATAGTACCATTCCAAGTTTTACATAAAACAGTCTAGAGTTCCATGCGTATTTCTTTATCCAGAAGGTTGTTGAAGGGGAGAAAAATTACATATAGTGTGCTGGAACCAAATCTACATTTAATTTTTAAGTTGTGGTTTGGATATTTTTCCACTTTACTAAGACAGTTACTTTTTTTTATTACTTCCTTAATAGTGACCGAAGATGGCATCCAGTTTAGTTAAAATGAAGTTGATGGTAGATAAATGCGTAAAGATATATTTTTAACTTTCCTGGTTTTAAGGGTTTTCCTTAGCCTTCAATATAAGTTGAGGTCAGAAGTTGACGTTTTTATTGTATGTGTGGTTGATGTTATTATATTCATTGTTCTCTGATATAGATCTTAATACTGCAATTGTCTTTTAACTTGATCTACACTATTACGCTCTGCTGCATCTCAAGCTAACCCAGACCACCCAGAAAGTACAACTCATACTCAGTTCTGGGATATGTACCAAATGTCTACCAAGACTACCAGCCCACTTCCTGTTTTGTTTACATTCCAAGTGCTTTTCTGTGAAGAGCATACTATCACCTGTGACCAGAATTATTAAGACCATTTCAGTCACCCCTACCTCACCCTCACATTATATATGACACAATCAAAGCATTCCTATTCCAAAACCATTACATATGAATTGCCTAAGAAGCTAGTATGTCTTTTTGGAGAGCTGTGGGTTACAGAATTCATCGGTTGGTTAATATTTTATAACAAAAAGATTTTGTCAATCTTAAATTGGCAAGCTGTTGTCCTTAATAGTAGGCAATGCAGAAAAATTATGTAAAGAAGGTGATATATGGAACTTAGAATTTAAGTTAAAAATTTAAATTTAAAAATTAAGTTCAAATAGCAACACAAATACACAAACAAGAGACTGTTCCTCAGGTATAAAATATTTTTCCTACTGTGTTCCAGTAGGGGGAACTAAAGATTCACTATCTAGTATACTTGGCTTATGGACCTGTGTGTGTTCTTGTAACCTACTGTCTCATCGTCAGCACAAGCATCAAACAGCTACCAGATAGCCTGTGATCACACGTGTTCTCATCCACGCTATTTACACTAAAGACCCTGGGTATGCCCGGATCTCTTTGATCTAAATCTGCCCTTCCTTGATCTTCCAGTAGATTTGCTTGGTGGGTTTTTTTAAACCTTATTTTAATTACAGCTTCCCCATCCCCCACCCTTTCCATTTTTGGTTTTCATTAGTTGTAGCAGTTAATGGCGAAACTTGATTTTTTGCTTAACTTCTCTAGGGTTTTAGACCTTTTACATATTTAATTTTGAGGTTTACATCTCAAGATGAGGACGGATTTAGGTATCTTCCAACTTTTGCATTTTCCCTTTCCTGAGATCTTTTTTCCTTAAAAAGCCTTTGGATCACAGAAGTGATCTCACTTGAAACTCACTTTCCAAGGGTCATAAAGCAAATGCCAAAGACAGGAGCACCTTATGACCCTTACATTTCCCGCCTACCTAAGTATGAGGGGTAGAAGCAATGATGGATCTTACCTGAAACCAAAGCTTGGAGGGTTTTTTTTTTAAATGGGGGGAGGGAGAGGTGGTGTTTACTAAAGGTTGAAGGATAATACTTCCCTTTGAAAGGTTTTTGTTTTTCCCTTTCGGATCTTCATTTCATTTAAAGATGAAGGTTGCGCGCCTGAGCGCGCATGTGTGCGTGCGTGCGTGTGTGTGTGTGTGTGTGTGTGTGTGTGTGTGTGTGTGTGAAATATGCAGGTAGAGAGGGAATGAATAATTAGGAAGTGCTTCCATGAAACCACTCAACAAGAAAATTACCTGCTCATTAAATGGGAAGCAGAGAGGAGCAGTCACGTAAATTCTACCTTTCTCCAACAGGAGAGGGGCGAGGTTTGGCGAAGGGAGGAGACTCGGAAGAAAGGAAGGAATTTAGTGTCTGCGCCGCTAGTTTTCACCCTAGCATAGCTGCCTAATAGATTTTTTCCCCCTTTTCCTTTATCCACTCACATCCCTTCTCTTCCCTCCCCCTCCCCAGCCAAGATCCCAGTGAGTGGGCATGTGGTGGAGTCTGGAAGTGGAAGGAGCTTAGTCCACGCCCTCATCTTCTCTTTTCCTCGGGCCCACCGACTACAAGCTGCTATCATTCTCCTCTCCCGCCTTTCCCTCCTCCTGTGCGTCTAGCAGCAGCAGCAGCGGCAGCAGCAACGGCAGCTGCGAAGGGAGAAGGACGCCTGGTTCTCGGGCCTCCAGGCTGATCTGCAGCGCAAACGGCGGCGGCGGCGGAGGCAGAAAGAAGCACACAGTGGACTGCGCCGCTCTCGGCTCTCTCCATCTCTTTCCAAAGCGTGCGGTAGCGCGCGCGGTCACACACACACACACACACACACACACACGCACACACACACACACAGACACACAGACACACACACACACACACACATATCCAGTTTAGCTCCTTCCAGTGAGCACTCCCCATTCACAATTGCATAGCAGCAGGAGCAGCGGCGGCGGCGGCGGCAGCGGCGGAGGCAGCGGCGGCAGGGCAGAGCCTGCTGTAGCCCTAGCCTTTTCACTTACTTTTTTCCTCCCTCCCTCTAGCAACGCTGTATTGAGAGTTACAGACCTCAGTTTCTTTTTTGTTTTTTTTCCCTTCTGAATCTTGTTCATTTTCTTTTGGAAAAGGGAAAAACGTGCGAGAAAGGTTGCATAGAAAAAAAAAACCCAAAACAAACCCTAAGTCAAGCCCGCCTGCAAAAAATGTTGCATTGTCACATTCTTATTATGGAAGTTAAGTAAAAAACAAAATCAAAACAAAAAACCAAAACCAAACCACAACAGCAAAACTGGACCTGGAACTAATGTGGATGAGAAAGAAAGAGGGTGGGAAGAAAAGAAGCTGTCAAGTCCATGGTTTTTCGGCAATGTGATGGGAAGTTTTTGGAACAATTTCTAGGAATTAGGTCCCTTTCTTCCATTTTCTTCTTGGCTTCTGAAGAAAGAACTTGGCTTTGGATTGAATGGATTCTAAGAACTGCGTTTTAGATACACTTGGATAATTCCTCTACCTGAGGTGGAATGGTGGGAATTTAGGAAGCAAAGTGTGGAAATCTAGCAGCCTTTGGAATTCCTTCTGTTTATGTGGATGCATCTAAATGTGCCCTATTCAAGACCTTACCAACATCTTTTGATCTTGAGATTTGCCCTTTACTTTAATTAGCTTCTAGGAAAGTCTAAACTTAAGACCTACCTCTTTTCTAAAAGGATACTAATTTTTCTACTTTTGCTTTCTGGGATTGGTATTTTAAGCAATCTGGATCATTTTTAATATGTCAGAATGTGTCTGCTAATGTTTACACAACTCCTCCTCTGTGGATTTGTATATTTTCAGGTTTATGGTAAGTTTAAAACCCTCAACCAAAATTTATTATTTTTCTTTGTAGAGTAGTTCTTCTTTGAGTCTAATAGGAGACATATGTAAAATAACATTAGAGCATCTTAAATAGATTTGTTTCAATTAAATCATGTAGTATGGATACAGGAGCTTTTGGGAGGTGGTTTGGAGGAGCTTTTGTTTCTGAAACTGTTGAAAGTATGTTTGCAACAAGGTTTTTTCCTGTTTAGAAAAAAATTGATAAAGTGACTACAAATAGTAATTTATCAGTGTGGTTAGAAAAAAAGAAATGTCAGAGTAAATCTTTCATATATGACTAGATGCCATTTTTTAACATTATTTTCTGTTTTTTAGTGGGTGAACTTTTGTTTATCGGCTTGTCAAATGTGGTAATTGCCATTTTGGAAGATGGTACAAATGAGTTAGGAATTTGAGAATAGACGTCTAGATGATCAGTATCACCTGTGTCTTGGAGAATGCACATACACTATTAAATTAGTATGAAGAATTTAGAGCTCATGGAGAATATGGAGGAAACTCAAAAGTAGGCAGAGAGTCTTCTGTGTCTGAAACAGCAGGGCAGTGGACTAACAGGAAAATAGGCTAGCTAATAGAAAGCTTAGCTGGGAGTGTTCAAAGACAATGGAGATTTTGAACAGGTGCTGTAGGTGTCTCTCTTTAGATTGAGTCAATCTGTCAAGGAGCTAATGTTGTTGCTTAGGTTTTTATGTCTTGTTCAGATTTGGTTTTCTAAGCAATATTCATAGGATGTGAATCTCTTTGAAATGAAGGGACTAGAGATAAGTTGATATTGACACAGTAGAACCAGTAGGCTGTATATTCATTATTTGCAAAAAAGGATGAAGAAATGGGAGGATTAGGGCATGCTGTGCTAAAAACTTGAATTCTATGTACTGTAATTGCCAGTGTTGTATAATGTGAATTGTAATGTTTTATATCATCTTTTAATATTCATGAAAAATAGCTATCTCCGGGGACCACAGTAGTTTCAAACTCTTGATATTCATTTTCCTTTAAGTGTCAATTTTAACTTTGCAGTAGCTTTTGTATTCTGACTTAATTCACTAGGTGGGACACTGGCCATTTTTGCATGTCTGTGGGAGCAAACTTTGCTCCAGGCAGCTTGCTACTTGAGGACCCCTATGCATCAGAAGCCAAAGGAGGCCTCCCTATAAACATGAAGTGATATGAATTAGTTTATTTATTGTAGAATGTGTATTTGCAGTCATGGACAACTTATCTTTTGCTCCTATGATAGGAGGCAATGCATGTTGACTCTCTTTGCTTCTGTTTTTTCTTGTTCTAAGTAGAAATGTTTTGGAACTAATCATTTAAAATTAAAGTATAGTAAGTTGCTTTAGTAAGTTTGTCTTGTTGAAATGAAAAAATGTAGAGATTCATCCTGTGGGTTTTTTTTTAAATTGCTACGTAAGCTTAGCAAGAAGGATTTCATGTAGCCTTTAGAAAAATGAATTAGACTCCATACGAATCTTATGGTTAGCAATACCAGAAATGTACATGTAAAAACTGTGCAGGCTACACAGTTATCAATATGTTTAAAAAAAACAAACGGTGTGTAACTAGAAGGAATACAATTAAAGTGTTCAGTGGAAGTGACAGAGTGAATCAGAAGAGCTTGATATTACAGAATATAATTAATGTACCAGGCTGTTTGGAGATATATGAAACAAATGCAATTAACTAGCTTGCTGGAATGACAGTAGCAAGACATAATTTATTCTTTTTTTCTCCATGAGAAACATAACTAGAACCTTTGTTCTGATTTAGCATTTATAGGACAAGGGAGGAGGTCAGATGAATCAGGTAACTAATACCTTGCCAGCCTACTACTGTATAGCAGATTCAGAATGAAATAAAGTGAAAATCTCCTGTGATTTGTGGAGCAGAAATTGAAAGGTTTTACAATGCTTTGTCAAAACACTTTTCAAAACCTTAGTCTTCATATGTATAGAAAGCAAAGAAGTGTATTTTTAAAGTTTTTATGGCCATGTTATGCAAATCATTAAGTTTGATGCTGGCTTTTGGCATACATGTCACTGTGGGGTAATATGATGCTATTGGTTGAGTTAAGAAGATGAAGTTATAACTAAAACTCCAAAGAGGAAAATAGGCAAACTAAGGGTAAGTGAGTCAAAAACTGGCTTTTGCTGAAATGAAAGTTTCTTTGCTCAACAAAGAGTTATAAAATTGTCTTGACATTGAAGGGGATTCAGCTGGGGAAATTGGTACTTTGGCTGTTCATCTCCTTGGGCCTCAGCTTCCTCTTCAGATTGATCTAATTTTCCTTCTAGCCCAAAGCTTCTATGATTCTGACTCCTTAATTATCTTTCTGTAAGAATAATTTTTACACGTTTTCTTTATGAATTTCAAATTTAGAGCAGTGTCCATCATTCTAAAAGTTATACTGGCCTTGTTAGTATTGTATACTAATATTAATTTTATTCAATGACAAATTATATACATAGATTTAGATGGCAATTTTATAGCAGTTATTCATATGTACATTTTTATTATATGACCATGGTAGAGCTTCACCAAACTACAGAAGATATGTACTTTTAAAAACACTATTTTTCAGAATCCCTTTGTCATCTCTTGAGAATAAGCAAGCAAGCTGGTTTTCCTTTGAAAAACTGAAGTAAGCAAAAAAACCAAACTCTGCTTTCAACTTTTGGTGCTGTTCTGGAGGGAATGTAGAACATGATCCCTTCATAAAATAAGACCTGAGCTGTATTTACATTACCATTTTATAAGAATGTATATTTTTAATTTATCCTTTTCACATTTTCTACTTTTTTAACTTAGGCACAGGACTTTGCAGCCTTTTTTTAAACCAAGAATTGTTATAGATTCCCACAGTTTATTATTTTCATTACATTGTAGTGTTCTGTATGTGGTCATCTGTAACATGTAAATATGACTATTATGAAAGATCAGAATATTTATTAAACAAGGCTATATTTTTATTGTCTTTTACAGTCAATTCAACGAGAAGAAAAATATATTTCACCTACATACTTAGTTATCCTTAGATTACTGCAGAAAGGTATTATGCATATTCCCCCCAAAAACTGCCCCCCTCTCCCTGGCAAATCTTTTTTATTTTATGTTTTTAGCTAGCTTCAGACTTGTGATTTCACTGGTGTAGGGAAATACTAGTTGTGAAATCTCCCTCTTTCAGTGCAGATCAGCCACTGGAAAGTTCTGCGGTTTACAATCTTAGAATGTTGCCTGGGTCACTGAATGATTAAGTAGTTTACCCAGGGTCACATAACCAGAATTTGTCAGAGGTGAACTTGAATTCTGGACTTCTTCTGGACTTTTGGACTCTAATGCAGACTCTGTATCTTGCCCTGCTGACCTACTAATCAAGGTGCTTCTTTTAGTGATTGCCTATAAGACATAAATTTCCTATTATAAAATCCAGATTACATGTAGATAAAATTGAAATTTATTCTTAAGAGAATGAAATGATCTGTCATTCAGATGTGCTGTATTTGATTAAGCTTTAATTAACATGAAATATGCAAAAGTTGGCCAAATTTGCAAAATAGAGAAAGATCCTGTAATCTAGAAGAATTTCTTAGGCACTAGATAAAAATTTTTTTTATTTAAAAAAAATTGATCTTATAAATATGGGAACTCTGCTCACTCTAATCTTGAGACAGTTCATTATATAATATCTTAAAATCTCAAACATGAATATCCATAGTGAACTGGATACTATGTATGGAATATTATAGACCTTACCCTAAAACATTTTGTTATTTAAATTGGACAGTATGCAAATATGTACCTATTTTGTTAGCCTTCAAGGTAGGACACACAGATATGTATATAAAATTCCATTTTTTATTCCCTCTACCACACCCTTGATGTTTTGTCCTTAGAAGCATGAATAACACTTGAAAAGGGGAAAAATTGGGAGAAATAACTGTAAATATAAAACCTAGCACATTCTTGATTTTTTTTAAAGGCATCCTTTCTTTAGGAGTGTATTCTTTAGCTTTGGTAAAACCCAAATTAGACTTTGCCACTCATCTGTCTCAGCAACATTTAATCTTCCTAGAAGCCCTTTGTTACCTTTGCTATGCTTGCTAGTATGGGCACAGAGAATTCTGGTGTGAGTTTGTGAGTAAATTAAGGGAATTTATGGAATAACATTTTTTTGGAGAGCTTAAAGACTGGAATTTACGTGTTTGTATAATAGGGATGTATATTTACATTAGTCCCTTCCTCTTGCAAAAGAGAGAGAGAGAGAGAGAGAGAGAGAGAGAGAGAGAGAGAGAGAGAGAGAGAGAGAGAGAGTTAGAGTTAATAATAGGCTTGTTTTCCAAAATTGATAACTTAGTAAAACAATGAGCTATTATTATAAGATGACTTGAATTTATGCTTGTCTGGAGACATTCAGATGGACCATTCCAGTGGTTCTTACTTATTTTCAATCTTTGGACTTTTAATGAGTCAAAAAGTCCCATAGACCTCCTACATTATTTGTCCTGGATAGTTGATGTGCTCACTGGAAATAATAACACACTTTTCATGAGACAGTGAATGATATCACATATAACTATGAATAAATGAATCTGTCCTAGATTTTCAGAAGGCAAGTATTTTCATATTGCTAACATAACTGCTGTTTAAATCTAGTCCACAGTGTACATGGTAGATATTGCAACCACTCATTAATAGCAGATCATTCTTTATGAACTGTTTGCCTTACTGGGTTCCCTTACATACTGAAAAGTTGTAGATACTTCTGTTCTTGTTCTTGGATAAAGGGTACAGTACACTTTTCCAAAATGATGTCTCAGTATTGTAGTGCAGAATATTAATATTTGGAAAACTTAGCCTCTAAGTTATTAGCTTCTAATGAAAGCTCTTAGCTTCTAATAAAACATGGCATAGTCCTCTGTGGGTTTTCTGGTTATTCTGAAGTTACTTACTTACATTCATTAGTAA